AGGGACGTGCCAGGGGACGCGCCGCGCGACGTGCCAGGTGGACTCGCCACGGAACGCGCCAAGGAACGTGCCAAGGTGCATAGTTGAGTGTATCGATCTTGATGTACCGTGCCGACGGCTGTGCTGTGCTGGGCCGTGCTGAACTGCGATGTGCCATGCCGCGATTGTGCTCTATATAGCGTTGTGGATCGAGTCCTCCCTGGCATCCGAGTCCTCACCGAACTGATCTGGATCAAGCTCGAGCTGCCTGAGCAGATGGTAGCTGCCCCAGAACTAATCGACAGAGGGAACATGCCAAGAGGACGCGCCGCGGAACGTCCCAAGGGACGCGCCAGGCGACGTGCCAGGGGACGTGCCATGGGCACGCACCGCGGGACGTGCCAGGGGACGCGCTACGGAACGTGCCAATGGACGTGCACCGCGCGACGTGCCAAGGGGACTCGCCACGGGACGCTCCGCGGAACGTGCCAGGCAACATGCCAGGCTGCAATGCTAAGGGTACCAATATTGATGTACCGTGCCGAGGGCTGTGCTGTGCCTGGGCGACCTGGACACGTGAAAACACGCGTTTCGCTCAAGACGTTGTCAGCACATCCTCATGCTAGACATCCGCCTGGGCAACCTAGACACGTGCAAACAAGCGTCTCGCTCGAGACATCCTCAACAAATGCTCATGCTAGACATCCGCCTGGGCGACCTGGACACGTGAAAACAAGCCTCTGGTTCGAGACATCCTCAACAAATCCTCATGCTAGACATCTGTCTGGGCCACCTGGAGGCGTGAAACCAAGCGTCTCGCTCGAGACATCCTCAAGACCTGGGCACGTGAAAACAAGCAATCCACTTGAGAGATCCTCTGAATTCAGGTCCCCAGGAGAGGACAATATATAACACAAAACAAGCGTTTCGCTCGAGACATCCTCAACAAATTCTGAGAAACAAGCGTTTCGCTCAAGACATCCTCAATCTTTAATTCGCCGGCCCTACGCGACCTCGTTATTTATCGCAAGCGAAATTCGCCGGCCCTACAGCCGTCAAAACCGGGGGCAAACCTACTAAAAGAGAACCCTGGGCCTACGCCCTTTCCGGAAACAAGCGTTTCGCTCGAGACATCCTCAAATTTTAATTTGCCGGCCCTACGCGACCTCGTTATTTATCGCAAGCGAAATTCGCCGGCCCTACAGCCGTCAAAACTGGGGGTAAACCTAATAAAAGAGAACCCTGGGCCTACGCCCTTTCCGAAAAAAACAAGCGTTTCGCTCGAGACATCCTCAAATTTTAATTCGCCGGCCCTTCGCGACCTCGTTATTTATCGCAGCAGAAATTCGCCGGCCCATCTCCGGGGGTAAACCTCTAAAAGAGAACCCTGGGCCTACGCCCTTTCCGGGAAAAAGCCCCCAATTGAACCCCACACGACACCTAAGAAGGGCCCCAGAGAAGCCCAAGAGCAGAGCCGCGATCCGCCAACCGTCCCCGACGAAATCCCAAGAAGCTGAAACCGCAAGATTCCCCCACAATCGCGTGGGTTCCGCAAACTCCGTCTTTCACTCTTACTGCCGCCTCAAAGGGTCGGCGGTGCGGCGTAAACCAATGAATCCACGTCCAGAGGTGACGTGCTGAGCGGCAGCGTTTTTCGGCGAAAGGCCTTAATGCAACATACCCAATGTATCCAATGATTGCATAATTGTCACATATTGCATTGTGTTACATTATTATGTCTCCCCCCCTAACCCCCCTCGGAGCCGCGCCACAGGACGCACCAAAATGATCGGCCCTCCTTCTGGGGCCCCCAACCTACAAAAACCTATGAACAACATAATCGACCCACGAACCCAGAAAGGAATATAGAAATGTAAGGCATTGCAACATTTCAAAGACACCTGATTGGGCGACGGGTACATGCGATGCTGAATGTATCGATGATGATGTACTGTGCCGAGGGCTGTGCTGTGCTACGCCGTGCTGAACTGCGATGTGCCATGCCGCGATTGTGCTCTATATAGCGTTGTGGATCGAGTCCTCCCTGGCATCCGAGTCCTCACCGAACTGATCTGGAGCGTAAGCTCGAGCTGCCTGAGCAGATGGTAGCTGCCCCAGAACTGATCGACAGAGGGAACATGCCAACAGGACGCGCCGCGGAACGTCCCAAGGGACGCGCCAGGCGACGTGCCAGGGGACGTGCCATGGGCACGCACCGCGGGACGTGCCAAGGGGACGCGCTACGGAACGTGCCAATGGACGTGCTGAGGGACGTGCCAGGGGACGCGCCGCGCGACGTGCCAGGTGAACTCGCCACGGAACGCGCCAAGGAACGTGCCAAGGTGCATAGTTGAGTGTATCGATCTTGATGTACCGTGCCGACGGCTGTGCTGTGCTGGGCCGTGCTGAACTGCCATGTGCCATGCCGCGATTGTGCTCTATATAGCGTTGTGGATCGAGTCCTCCCTGGCCTCCGAGTCCTCACCGAACTGATCTGGATCGTAAGCTCGAGCTGCCTGAGCAGACGGTAGCTGCCCCAGAACTAATCGACAGAGGGAACATGCCAAGAGGACGCGCCGCGGAACGTCCCAAAGGACGCGCCAGGCGACGTGCCAGGGGACGTGCCGTGGGCACGCACCGCGGGACGTACCAAGGGGACGCGCTACGGAACGTGCCAATGGACGTGCACCGCGCGACGTGCCACGGGGACTCGCCACGGGACGCTCCGCGGAACGTGCCAGGCAACATGCCAGGCTGCAATGCTAAGGGTATCGATCTTGATGTACCGTGCCGAGGGCTGTGCTGTGCCTGGGCGACCTGGACACGTGAAAACTCGCGTTTCGCTCAAGACGTTGTCAGCACATCCTCATGCTAGACATCCGCCTGGGCAACCTGGACACGTGCAAACAAGCGTCTCGCTCGAGACATCCTCAACAGATGCTCATGCTAGACATCCGCCTGAGCGACCTAGACACGTGAAAACAAGCCTCTGGTTCGAGTCATCCTCAACACTCCTCATGCTAGACATCTGTCTGGGCCACCTGGAGGCGTGAAACCAAGCGTCTCGCTCGAGACATCCTCAAGACATGGGCACGTAAAAACAAGCAATCCACTTGAGAGATCCTCTGAATTCAGGTCCCCAGGAGAGGACAATCTATAACACAAAACTAACGTTTCGCTCGAGACATCCTCAACAAATTCTGAGAAACAAGCGTTTCGCTCGAGACATCCTCAATGTTTAATTCGCCGGCCCTCGTCATTTATCGCAAAACAAATTCGCCGGCCCTACAGCCGTCAAAACCGGGGGCAAACCTACTAAAAGAGAACCCTGGGCCGGCGCCCTTTCCGGGAATCAACACATTCGGCCTCTTGGGCCTCTGGGGACTCCAAGAGGGCCTCGAGATGGCCCAAGATGGCCCAAAGACAGCCCAAGACGGCCCCAACACGGCCCAAGAGATTCCCAACGGGGGCCCATGAAGCCCCCAAGACGGCCCCAAGAGGGCCCCAAAAGCCCCAAGGACGGCCCAAGAGGGCCCCAAGAGGGCCTACAACTGCGCCTCCAGAAGCCGACATCATGGATTTCCCTTTGGTTTTTGCAATATTATAGCGTTCTCACCTTTTTCGATTATCAACGGAACAACCCAAAAAGCCCCCAAGGGCCCCAAGACGGCCCAAGAGGGACACAAAACGGCCCAAAGAGGCCCCCAAGACGGTCCAAGAGGCCGCGAAGACGGGCCAAGAGGACCCCAAGAGGGCTCCAATGCGGCCGCGAGAGGCCCCCAAGACAGCCTCCGAGGGGGCGAAACGGCGCAAAAGCGCCCCAAGACGGCCCAAGACGCCCCCAAGAGGCCCCGAGAGGCCCCCAAGAAGCCTCCAAGAAGTCCCCCAGAAGCCTCCAAAAGGCCCCAAAAAAGCCCCCCAAAGGCCACGGAGCGACTGGAGTGTAATGTTATTTTCCCCCCTGTGGGCGAACTGCGGCGCAGCGCCAGCCAGGTGGAAGTTGGTCACTGCGGCGCCCATGATTCGAGCCGGCGCTGGAAGGAAATATGGGGAGGGAGTACGAAAAGGAGGGAGGGGGGAAAGGCCCCAAAGAAGTCCCCAAGAGGCCAAAAGAAACTCCCAGGAGGCCTCCAGGAGGCCCCCAAGAGGCTCCCAAGACGCCCCGCGACGACGCGACTGTACGTGCTCCGGACGTGCACCCCGCGAAGCGAGAGGAATAAATGGAAGGGCCGACTGGATTCTGGCACAGTGTCAGGGGAGAGAGCAGGGAGATAATCATAACGAGTAGTAGTAGAGAGAAAAGGGACATGCTTGGTGCGCTCGTGCAACACATGACACCTTACCCCTCCCACCCGTCCTGTCCATCACATTCGCCAGGGGTGGGGGGGAAGAGAGAGAGGGGGGATGGGAAGGGGGGGGAGGAAGGGGGAGGGCTCGTGATAATAAGATGCAGAGGGGGCGAGAATGTGACAGGCGCCAAGGCGAGAGGCCCATTCGGGACAACCGAAGACGTTCCGATTGGAATCACGGAAATGAGAACAGTCAGATAGCCCCTATGTGGAAAGATAGTTCAGCGGCAACATGCGAGACCTACCCCCACCAACCCCCCACCAACAATCGATTCTCCTGAATCGATGGGAGGCAGGGGTAGGGTTCGGATGTTGCCACCTGGTCAACGAATTCTCAACCCTACCCCCGCCGCCTATCGAATTGCCTGCATCGTTGATCGGCGAGGGTACGGTTCGGATTCCGACACCGAATAATATTACGCGGGAGCGCCGAATCATGTATCCACATGGAAATGAAAGAAAAGAGAGAGCAGAGCAGGACTCATAATGAGTCACTGTAGCGGAGAAGGGTATGGAGAGGGGAGGAGAGGGAGCTACGCCCTGATCCTCCTCCTCCTCTTCCCCCTGCTCCTCCGCCTCCTCCCTCCTCTTTGCCCCCTTTGCGAAACAGAAGGGCAGGGGGGGATAGGGTGCGTTAGATCGGAATGGTGACTGAATTGGGGGTCCCTGGTCCTCGTCGTTGACGATGCAGACGCATATGCGCTTGCCGAAATCCCGGAAGGCAGCGGCCTTCCGTTTCCGCGCGTTCTTATAGACGTTGGTCTGGTCTAGAATAATGTTGCGCGGGGTTTTACCAGCAATCTCCACCAGTTTGTTGAAGATCGGGGTCGCCTGGGAGATGAGCTCCTGCCATCGGTCGGCGTAGTTTCGCTGGCGAGTGAGGCTCATGACCTTCATCTGATCGATGACGGCGTTTGTCCCCAGTAACACGTAATTCTTCATGGGGTTTGCCTCCATGTGCTTCTGGGCCCAGTAGGTCTTCCCGCACGCAGGCAGACCTACCAGCTGGATGAACTCTGCCTCCTGCTGGGGGGTGCGCCAATGTGAAGTCATGCCAAACTAGCTGCGCCAATAAAAACACATGATCGATCCACGAACCCAGAAAAGGATATGGAAATGTGAGGCATGGAGCGTTTTCAAGACACCTGATTGGGCGACAGGCAATTGCAATGCTGAATGTATCGATCTTGGTGTACCATGCCCAGGGCTGTGCTGTGCTGTGCCATGCTGAACTGCGATGTGTCATGCCACGAGTGTGCTCTATAGCGTTGTGGATCGAGTCCTCCTTGGCCTGAACTGATCTGGATCTTAAGCTCGAGATGTCTGAGCACACAGTAGCCGCCCCCAAGCTAGTTGAAGTGGAAACGTGGGGGACGTTCAACCAACTCGACCTCAAAATCCGACTCAGCTCCGAAAAGGAATGACACGACACGGGGCACAGGCTCACGGACGCGCCACAGGATGTGCCAGGGGCGCAGTAAGGGATGCGCCAGGAGACGTCAGGGGACGCATCAAGGGACGCGCCCTGGACGTGTCAAGAACCTGCCACGGGACGTGCCAAAGCGCGTGCCATGGGGCGGCCAGAAGACGTCATTGCAAAGGGACGTTGCAAGGAGCCCGCCAAGCAACAGGCAGGGGAAACGCCTGGGGACGAGCAAGGAAACGCGACAGAGGACGAGCCAGGGAACGTGCCACGCCGAGTGGCGTGCTGGGGAACGTGCCAGGGCACGTCACGCCTGACCGTCGCAAGGGACGCGCCAGGGGGCGCGCCAGGGGGCGCGCCAAGGCGCCAGGGAACGCCCCACGGACGGGCGGGGTTGGACTGCTACGCAATCTACTGCGACAAGCGTTTCGCACGAGACATCCTCAACAAATACTCATACTAGGTATCCGCCTGGGCGACCTGGGATCCGACCTGGACACGTGAAACCAAGCGTCTCGCTCGAGATGTTCTCAACACCTCCTCATGATAGACATCTGCCTGAGCGACCTGGACACGTGAAACCAAGCGTTTCGCTCAACACATCCTCAGCACATCCTCATGCTAGACATACGCCTGGGCAACCTGGACACGTGAAACCAAGCGTCTCGCTCGAGGTTTCCTCAACACTTCCTCATGCTAAACATCCGCCTGGGCGACCTGGGCACGTGAACATGATCGACCCACGAACCTGGAAAGGAATGTAGAAATGTAACGCATGGCAACGATTTCAAAGACACCTGATTGTGTGACGGGCAAGTGCAATGCTGATTGTATCGATCTTGATGTACCGTGCCGAAGGCTGTGCTGTGCTGCACCGTGCTGAATTGCGATGTGCCATGCCGCGGTTGTGCTCTATAGCGTCGTGGATCGAGTCTTCCTTTGCATCCGAGTCCTGACCGAACTGATCTGGATCTGAAGCTCGAGCTGCCTGAACACATAGTAGCTGCCCCAGAGCTCATTGACAGGGGGACATGCCAGGAGGACGCGCCGCGAAACGTCCCAAGGGACGCGCCAGGCGACGTGCAAAGGGACGTGCCAAGGGAACGCGCTACGGGACATCCTCAAAATTCCTGCGCGCGGGACGTGGCACGCGCGAGACATCCACGGAATTCCTGCGAGCGGGACGTGAAGACAAACATTTCGCCTGAGACATCCTCTGAATTCTGGCCCCCCACGAGGCCCCCGCTCGAGACATCCCCCAAGTTTGCAAAACCAGCGTTTCGCTCGAGACACCCTCAACAAATTATGAAAAACAAGCGTTTCGCTCAAGACATCCGGTCAAAATTCTAAGAAATCCTGCAAGATGCTCCCAGGACGGCCCCAAGAGGGGCCCCAAGACGGCCCACGAGACCTCCAAGGCACCCCCACAACGCCCCAACAGGGCCCGAAACCGCCCGAAACCCAGGCCGCCCGACAAGCCCGGGCAGGCCCCGGCGGAACGCCCGGGCTTCAGATCAACTCACGCGGCTGGTTTTCCAGGCGCTGAAGGCGCCCTTGCATCATGGGAGAGCGCCCGATCCCCCCTTCGTCCGACCCGAATGGGGAAGGGGGAGAAAGGGTAGTTTACCTTCTCGCGCCTTCTGCGACAACGCCCCTCGAAAAACAGGATCGGCCCACGGACCCGGAAAGGAATATTGAAATGTGTGGCATGGCAACGTCATCAAGACATGTGATTATGGTATTTTTTGCGCATTGGCAAAAGGGGCCCCTACAGGTCAAACGGCAGCGAATGGCGCATATACACACAGCGGGGCAGCACACCACTACAGGGATGTTTTGGGGGGCGCCGTGCAACAGGGATGTTTTAGGGGCGCCGTGCTGTTCCATATCACACCCGTGAAACTTTGTCACGAGCTAGCCGGCAGATCGCGTTCTGTAAACCCCTAGAGGCAGCAGGCAGTGCAACCCCAGTTCCCTGACGGGATAGTGCTCACTCTGGTCTTCGCCAGTTGCTTCTTTACCTTCTTCAACGTCGACCCTGGGTCTGTAGTCGCATCACACGATCATGTACACAAAATATTAACCAGAAACTCAGTAGGCATGGCATGTGCAAGACAGTCCACAGCCATTATGCTCGTGTCAATCCAACGGGTTTTGTCACAGGACAAACGTGGATGTAGCAAAGCTACTTCATCACGACCATTGGTCCATGTTTCCTGCCTCAGACTACTCAGATCTATGCTTAAACGCTTGTCTTCTGTTTTCCCCATAGTGGAGGCAGTCGCATGTTATTATGAGCTTTTGCAATCAGTCAACCACAAATGTCTCATCGTCATGGCTGCGTTTTCTTCCCAGCTAACAGGCAAGATATGCCCAACGCCTAGCGTGCCCCGCGCGTCGGCGATAGCAGCACGAACACGCACACCAGACTCCACACCCATAGACACGCCAATGTCTTTGCTTGAAGGGTTGGCTCACACACTCTTTTAAAGACCTTACTTGATACACATACAGGGTGAACGCTGTCGCTGTTCCCCTCGATAAATCCAGACCGGCGAGTCCATTGAACCTGGCCCTCTGAGACCGAAGCGGCTCAACATTTCCCTTGACTGCATCATCTTCGCGTGCCCAGCTTGTAAAAGTAACTGCATGAACCACCATATCTGAATCCCGTAACACTGAGCCCCCCTTGAACGGTAACCCGCGGTCCGCGGACTGCGGCTTCCTCCAAGACGCAGTTGGCCTCCTCGAGGTGGAGTGTCATCGCGTGACTCACTGCAGTCTGCAAGCGGCTCACGCGGTATAACAGCTCAGGTTTGCACCGTCGCGCAATCCAAGATAAGGCACCTACGACCAACCTAAGCGGAGATACCTCTCCTTCGTTACAAATCCCGGAGAGGGGGCGGCCCCTGGGATGGGATACAGCTTCGAAGCACTCAACATTGCACTCAACGTTGCCCTATGCCGATGCACTAATAGCGCGATCTGCACACACGGGAACAATGGCCCTTTGACTCTTGGCGTCTGCAGCCCAGAGAATGCCATCCACATGTGTTCCCAACATACAAGTGATCTCATTATTGTCGTTGTGGGTGCTCAATAGGGCGGGCTGGCGTACTACGATTCTCTCTGGGCCTGTGCGCCTCGAATATCTTGCAAACTTTCCCCCGCGAACCTCTTCCCGCGTCGCGCGCGCCGTCGACCGGCACGCGCGCGGCAAGCCCCACCATCCGGTGCCCCTTCGAATCTGTCGGGGGGCGTCTTGAGCAACACGAGGCGATCTAACTCCTGCCCCTGGACATAGGCAGACGCGATGTCCGCGCACTTTAGCGTCTCATTGGTTCCAGCGGCCCACGACACAATCAACCTAAGACCCTCAAGCTCGCACGTCGGCGAATCCGCGCGCATGCCCAGCGACTCTTCTGAGCCCCCTTCGCACAACAAGTCTGCTCTTGCACAGCGGCGCAGCCGGGGGCCCACCCGGTCTGCGGAGGTGTTCATTCTTATCAATTCCAATCTATTGTGCTGGTGCCGTACGATATCTTTCTTCAAAGAGCTTCTGTAGTTCCACGGGATCAAACGGGCACGGCGGCATTAAACATCCGCCACTTTCCCCATTCATCCTGTCTGGCCGACCTTAATCCACTCTTAACGTCTTCACATTCACGGTGGCACACCAGATTCTTGGCACTGTTCAGTTTCTCCTTCAATTGCGTCCTGTGAACTGTTCGTTCGTTACAGAATCCCACGATTGATTCACGCGGCTCGACCGCCATCGAAGCCCGTCTGCTCTCGAGGAGTTCCACGCCCGGCCCCGACGCGCCTGCCCCCCGCACAGCCTCGGACAGCGGGTTCGCTGGATCGGGAGCCGGTTCCGACATGGAATCGGGCGTTCTCCCCGCGGCGCCGTTTGCGCGATCTGTTCCCCCGCGCATCACTTCTCTACGACTTTGCATACCATGGGGAACGTCATCTAACAATGATCTCTGCAATGGCGTCCGAGCCACTTGTGATGGCCTTGGCGCCGGCGGCGCCTCGGGGGCAGCCATTTCGTCTCCGCGTTCATCGTCTTCCTCCACGCGGCGAAATGCTTACTCAAAAACCTCGGGGTCCTCAAGGGTCCCAAACAAAACGTCGTCGGTCATTAACGGCGGTTCCACCACCCGTTGTTCAGCTGGCCGTGGTTCTTGTAGACCTCGACGCTCGTCTACGATCGACTGTTGCAGACCATCAGGAAGTGCAAATCTCTCGACTCCTCCGGCATGGTGCCTAGACAGATATTGACGCGCCAGCCTTTCCGCCGCTGCACACGGTCGGAGTCCATCGATAGCTGCACAAACAAGTACCCAGTCGATGATTACCCATGCGTTCTTACCATCGAAACCTACGATCTGCGATCTGGCGCTCCACTTGGCAGTAACCTCTGCGTCTGTCGGCCTCCTACGGAAACACGCCACATCGCCGACCTGATATTCACCGGCTAGTGGCGTCGCTTATCGGAGAGCGGCCCGCGCGGCCCCACTCCCGACGTCGCGCTCTGCGAACGCTTTTCCGGCAGAAGCTCGGATCGCAGCTTGGCGAGAAACTCGTCAGCTCCGTC